GTAAAAAATAATTTTCCACCTCCGGAACGAGGGTGGGCGAATCCGTGGGGTGTTGCCTTTTGTGTCGTTCCACCGACGATGTTTGGCTAACAAGCTCCTTTACGACTGTCGAGTGTAGTGGGCATAGTTTTGCGTGCATTGTGTCTTTTAAGCGCTTTTGTTCTAGAACAAAAACATAGCTTGTCATACACGAGATTAGCCGGGGGTCATTTGCGACAAGCGGCCCTCACGCGAACTTTTATTGTTCAAAACTATTTTAGTGAATTGTTACATTTCTTTCAGTTAACGTTACAGACCGTTCGCCTCGTTCTCTAAGTAGACAGACGAGTGCCATCGGATGAGGCAGAGCGTAAGGGATCGGAGAGAAGCGGGGGTATTTTTTATCGTCGTCTAGCTGTAAAGTGGGGTCAATCAATCGATTAGCGATGTCGCGTCTTGACTACTGGTGCGGTAAATTGGCTCCTTATTGCGTCACAGATATAATGAGATAGAATATAACGAACCGAATTTAATTATATTCTCGGCTCCTCGAGTTTCCGGCCTCTTTTCGGCCATAGTGTTTATTTCGTATTTTCCTATTGAATGAGAAGATATAGGTAGACTATGTATTTTTTTGGTGATAGAAGAGGTCAGATAAATATAGGGCTCCCTTGATGATAGGAAAATACCCCAGGCATATAACATCTAAATAAGATGCACTGTTGATCTATCTTGGCTTTGGATATTCGGAAATTTACAGTGCCGATCGAAATTTCGATATTTCTACCATCCATTTAATCTCCAGATTTCCAGACGAAGTCCAGCATGTCTCAGAAATGTTATAAATTGATTAAAAAAATATTTCGACCCACTAGTGGTCGTAACCACGACTTGTCGATAATTAGGCTTACATTGCTACTATTACACCAACAAGCCGGCAAAATGTAACCCATCTTCAATCCAATAAAGCCCTAATGAGCGGCACAAAAGGCTTTAATAAATTAGCGAAATCCCCGATAGAGCAAAGTGCACATTTTCCCTTGAAAAGAACTCGCACCCAGGAGAGACCTGTCCGTTCCCCTAAACTGAGACTAAGCAAAAACTGTTCGAGGGGCCTCATTAAATTTTTCGCTTATTAAAAATTCCCCGCGCCGTCCATCAACATCAGATAGGCAACTTTTTATTTTAACAAAACAAAAGTTATGTTCACGGCTATCTCCCCTCGTCCTTAGCTCGATAATTTGAGTGAGATTTTCTCGCAATTTAAGATAAACAAAGAGAGCGCTTACCCTTAATTGGAAAGCAGAACGTTATTCAGGAAGGAACGTGACAAATAGACACCTCTTAACTTCTTTTCCACTTCCCGCCGTGCTGGCCTCTATTGGTTTTACTGAACACACTGGTCTTTGTTTGTTTAAGATTTCCGAGTGATTGCTTTTAGATACTATTAACTTTTTAATTGCTTTGCGACCTAGACATATTTTTGTATCGGCTATTGTAAACATTCGCTGGCTTGGCAAACGTTCTTTTAAATAAAACACTTTAATGGTTTAAAACGCGATATATTAGTTAAACTTATTTGAAAACTTATATATCGTTGCGGATGCTTTGCAGCAACTGTGGTCACGGGGAGACGTCAGGCCGAAGTTAAAAATCATTTTCAAATAAGTTTAACTAATATATCGCGTTTTAAACCGTTAAAGTGTTTTATTTAAATATGTACTACTCGCGTAAACTATAGACAGTATTTAACTATTAAGTAGTATTAAAGTAGTGGCAGTATTTAAACGTTCTTTTACCTTATTAGATTTTTCAACTAAATTTGATTTGATTACCCTTTTATTTAAATTTGTTTGAAGAACCTTTCAATTCGAATCAGTAGTTCCTGACACCAACCATAAGCACAAGAAGAATTATTTAAGTAATAATGATAATGTAGACCATTCAAATATCATGTCTACTCCAAATATGTACATTGAATCTTGAATAACTTGTCATCGTATCATTATACGATTTTTACATTGGCGCCATTTTAAAGCACAGATTATCAATATCATATTAATTTAGTATCGATGCCAATACACATAACAGAAGTAACAACTAATGAGTTGCGTGAAACGAAACGACCCACGTGAATAGTAAACAGGTTGTCTGTGACAGGGTACTCCCTCCTAAATAACAAGGTGCTGAGTTTCCACTGCGGATTCTTATAAGTTCAACTGCTGTTGCTAGGGTTAACACAAGATAATTTAATTTAAAAATCGAAAATAAATTGAAAAAATTTTCGACTCGGGCAGGACTTGAACCGGCATCGTCAGCTTTCCGTGCTGTTGCTGACGAGCCGGTTCAAGTTGAAAAATATTAATGTTTTCAAAACAAGATAATTTATCATCTGTCACTTGTGTTATAGATAATATGCATTGTTATATTTAATTCGTGCCCATAAGATAGGCAATGTCCGGTCTGGGAAAATAAATAACTATGTATATGTTTTAAGAATAGCTTGCGTACATTTTTAAAGCAGTTTCAAGCAAATTGTGAGTCCATATTATTGTTGTTTTTACTAGTCTTCTTCGCTTACATTAAACAACCCATCATATTTATTTATTAATCTGTGACTTCAAGTCATAGTCAAGTATAAGGCTGTAGAGCATAAATAAATAAATAAATTATTAATCAACGACGAATTACGAGAGAGATAATTAAAATGTACCCTTATTCACGAAAATCAACCGAAATGCCACATAACACGTATGCCATAATCTTATATTAATACTACGAGTTTTAGTTCACGAAATCGGTTTTAGTTTTATTAATGTCTTGGTCGAGAGACGTAAGGCTCATTTCTTACGTTACTCAGAGACGTATAACAAATAATTATGATGCCACTATAAAATAAAGGTCGTATTGTCACTGCCAACACGTATTTTTTTAATGATCGCGGAGGACAGACGAACATGGAGTTCATTGATGGGAGATGAAATGCCACATCCATATAACATTTACACAAGATGTGCTATCGACCAATTTTGGCTTTGGATATATAGTTTTTATACTTGGACCTATATTTTATTAAACTAAACATTCATAGCGAATGAACCAGTCAAAAAGGCGGAGGAAATAGCGAGGGTAGTTGTAAAACAAATTAAATTAAGCAACCCTATCACCGTCGCTCGCTTCGTTAGCTCGCGCACTATTTGAATATGAGACAAGTTTACAGTTCACCGATGTTTCGTTGCGACCCCCGAGCCTTTAACTTTTGTTCTTCGTTTGTTTCAATATTGGATATACCTTTTCTAGAAGAAATAATTTAAGAAAAGGTCTTCTGTTATAAATTTTTAGGGTGCACAAATAAGATTTCTAACTAAAACTCAACGTTCTCTGACTCATGATAGATGTTTTTTTTCTCTTATAGGTCAATTATAATTTAATTTAATTTAATAGTTATATAGTTAATATAATTAAAAAATATATATATATATTTTTTTGCATTTAACACTATGAAAATACATGTTGCCCAGTATTGCATTGTAATTTTTATTTTAATCTAGACAATAGAAGAAGACTATCGCCTACTTATCAGCGTAGTGTTTTAACAATAGTCAAAAATATTTACAAAAGATCTACGCTACACTCAACTAACTTCAAAGACATATCTTTACAGATATATAATCTGTCTCTGTAGCTCAATGGTTAAACACGTTGCCTAACAATGCGTTAACCGCGAGAGGTCCTAAGTTCGAATCCCGGGCAATTATTTTTTTCTTGTTTATTTCACTTCATTAAGCCTTGCCAAATTAAAAAATAACACCCCCCCCCCCAAATTATATCTATCGATAGCTAGGATATAGCTACATGCTATCAAGTAATGAAACCAATAATGTGGTTGCGAAAGGGTTAAGCGATATCACTTACAAGAAGGCATGCAATTAGGAAGAGCTCTAAGTGCATCGGATAAAGCACTAGACTTGATATTAAACTCTAAAGAGTGCCCGTATTTGGTATCATTAGCCGTGACTAAGACTTTAAGCCCGCAGACGAAAACGGAGAACGTAAAAGGTTAACTTGCAGTTAATTTACTGTAATTCACTTAAAAAGGCTGCATAATCCGTCTGTATTTACTTGTCACGTGTCTAAAGCGTATAAAACCTTCTAGACACTGAAAAAGGTCCAATGGTAACAATGTACTGCATTTCATAATCAACGGTCGTGAGTTTGATTCCCATCGTATCAACCGTAATGTTGGACTATCAGTCACCGTCAGTCTTCAGAAACCGTAATCGCGTTTCCAACAACGCTGAAAAAGTACATGTCAAGATGTACTTACAAAATTAATTTTGGTGTGCGACCGGAGATCGAACTCCCGACCTCATAACATTTGCACATATAAGAAGAACACCATTCCCACGATATTAAGAATAGCTGTTATATATAAAATTCAGCCTCTAATAAGCATATACAATATAATTGGAATTTCCCGATGAAAATATATGAGATTCTGTTGCTAAGTTAACCCAAAGCTTTCACCATACCCAAGTAACGTAAGATATCAATTACCTTAATATTTAAACAAAGGGAAACGTATTGAAATATTCAGGAGCTACTCTTGAGACGCACAGCGTTGTTCTTCAACATTTACAAGAGGGAATACTTTGTGCGTAGACAAATCGAGTTTACAGCCATTACGATAAAATGAATGCCCATTAAAAATGTATTACATACGCCTCAAAAGCTATTTAATAATTACCTTTGCAAAAAATATGGAATTTTAATCAATATTTAAGGCACGTGTCAGACTTCTCATTCCCAGCAGTGGGAATAACTTAAAGGATCGAATCGCTTTAAAACATATACGAAAAATTAAGTGTCATTTGTTCCATCGATAAAGTCGAATGAATCGTGACTCATGATGTGGGTCGTTTGACCCGTTTATCTCGGTCATTTTAAGATCTACTTAATTTCGTTCATTGCGAACAGCATACATACAGAGATAAATACTAAACGTAAAAATAGTAACTTACCCCTCCCACTTCGCCCCACGAATCTTAAATCATTGAACTTGGCTACTTGGTTCTTCATAACGGCTGTACAGTTCCTGAGCTCCGCGGAACAATTCTCGTCGTTCCCAGCCCGAACTGTGACGAGGGTTCCATCTCCGACATCTCCTAGTGCTACCACTTTGAATGCCACTGGTAATGTCTTGTTTGAACGCCAGTGTGGTGGTAGGACTGTACACACCTGTTGACGTAAAAAATAATAATTAACACAAAAATAAAAAATGTCTTGATCTAGTATTTTTTAGTTTAGTTATTAAGATTATACCACTGTGTCACTTTGTGACACAGCCAGCGTGACACAGTGATATAGACATATGTTTGGGTCTGATCGACTTTTTTACATGAACGGTTTCTGACCGATAGTATTGTTTCCCCGGACATCGAACTCAGATCCTATCGTGCTTAGGCGATAAATGCAAGATTATAGTATTTTAAATATGAGACGCTATATACTATATAGTATATTTTACATATAATATTATATATTTTATAGCTTTATCCAATTTTGTAATGTTTTATTCTTGTGCAAGAAAATTTCATTCAAATTAAAATATCATAGCTAAATAAGAAAGTAGATCCTCTTACAACATGTGGACAACCGGTCTTGACAAGCTCTCCCGGATGATCAGCCAGGAGGCCCTCCAGCGTCCTTTCAGCTAGAAGCTCAGCCGTCAATGGTTGACTCGGCAACCCGTTGTAACTGGAAGGCGGTGCCTCGTGCCCTAAACCATTCGTAGTTGAACTCACTTCACTCGATAGATGCATCGTCTACTGATACATAAAGGTATTTTACACTGTCCGAAAACAAACAACGATATCCGTCACATAATTCCGCGGACCAGGATTACTTTCACTTGGTGTTCCGGCGGCAATTTCGGTGTTAAAGATGACATCTTCATTTGTACACCACCTGTGGACAAGCATATTATAACTAGTCATTTTTCCAACATAAGAGAGAGCATATCTTTTTTTTAAACTGCGTGAACGTAACGTAAAACGTGTTTAAATAAAACACTTTAACGCTTTTAAACGCGATGTATATTAGTTAAACTTTCATTTCACTTCAAAGCCCGACGTTTCATTAACGTTATTACTAATATTTAAATTGTAGTGTACTTACTATCTCGTAAGGAACAGACAGTATATACTTAGAAATGTTATCCCCCGAATTAAGACCAAAATAGTAATAATTTGAATTAAAAGACCTAAATTATAAACGAGAGAAAGACAACTTACAAACGTCTACATACTTAATTAAATATAGAACAAGTCATTGATTTTTATAGTAAGAACATATTCCCGCCAAAAACAAGCTATCCCAATTATACCACAGATAAAAGCCAAACAGATGTTAACGTATTGTCACTCGTTCCTTGCCATCAAAGAGAGTTCCTTGTGAAGGAGCACAATTATACGTAAGGGAGAACGGATCCGGCGGGTTAAATCAACTGAACAGGATATATTGGCCGTGCTTTGAAAAATATTGGAAATTTTATTCCCCCATATACTTTTAGGCGTGTATGAAAACTCACAGTTTTCGTACACTAATGTGATAGATTTAAGCGCCATTTTGTTATTGTAACTGGTTGGTTAGAAAAACACATTTCAAGAAAACTACAGATTATACAAATTATTTTTAAAATACGCAAATATCACTTTTCTATGTTGTTATATATAACAGTCGAGTAGTCTATCACAAGCATGGTACATTTGATTAAATCTATTTAAAATGAGCTATCGACTTTTCTATCTTTGAAAGGCATTTCGTGACCTGGACGAAACTTCGATAATTGATGTACTTCCCGCCATTTAATGTCAATTTTCTACACTTAGATGATTACCAAACGAAGTTGAGTCAGTGAGAATAATTACTCAACCACATCGTTTGTTAGTCATCAATTATTATCATTTTTTAACTGGTGTGGTAGTGTACACACAAATACATGATATATATATCTAGATATGTCAAAACAGTATAATGTTGACTTCCAATAATATCTGAAAGCTATAGCCTCCCCTTACGTTGTAACATGTTTGCGAACGCGATATGTCGATCGGCATGTTAAACTTAATTTCTACAAGGGGTTCACCCCGCCTGTCTTTTTACGGCCCTGCACGGTGTTTACTTTGATTCCGGTTCGATAAAGGTTTGTGTTGATCCATGACAATACCATTAACTGTATATCTTTTAACTGTGTAAGAAATAGCGTATTAATAATATAAATAGTTTATGTCACTACGATAAATTGTAAGACTACTAACTACCATACAGAGGCATGCAAACTAACATAAAGTTTAAAATAAAGAAATGCGGCTAGTATCAGAACTCATAACACATAGATATTATGTACAATACCTTCAGAACATAATTAGATACAATGGACGAAAAATAACATGTTTATTTTAAATTATAAAATATAATATGATTTGTACGATTACAAATAATACTAATTTTTTATAATTAGTTATGTTTACCTCAAATTATGAACATGCTCGTACAAAGTTGCTTCACCGGTCGTAACGGGTAACACCAAGAAACATATTTATGGATTCATATTTTTTCTAAGATAAGTTCGTCTGGATATCTGAATATTAAATGGTTTCTAAGAACAATAAGAACATCGAAATTCCAACAGGATCATGAAGTACACCAAAAAAAGGTAAAGTTCTATCACATTTAAGTTTCTATTCTTAGTTTATAGATTTCCGACTTTCAGAAGCCAAAATAAGTCGACGGCGTATCTTGTTTGGATTTTTATGGCTGGGGTATTTTACTTTACTATCAAATTGACCACATTTTCTATCGGGACAATTTAACGAAATCAAATTGTTCAGAGAACGTCGTTATTTTTTAATTTCCTTTAGAAGATTCCACGAAAATTACCAAATCATATTTTGTCATAACAATCACAGTACGTATATATGTTGTATTGTTTATTTCATCCCGAAAAATCTCTGAAATCCATTTGCATCACGATTTACAATGGATTAAGCTCATGAATAGCTCTGCAATAAAATCTTAGTTCAAAACATACAGAGCGGAGGTCATAAATAATAAAGCGTACGGTCGCATGGGGTTCCGTACAAGTGGGTAATGCTCGTTACTCTGCACCCTTCCACAAAGGAACCCGCCAAATGGGGTAAAGATACATTATACCCACCATTTCTGTTTCAATGCTCACTTTGTTTTTTGGGACATTTTCATACTTGCAGCCTAATGCTACCTGCAATTCCATAGTATGCCATATATTTCATATATGTATAGTATTATATATTATGAAAATCGCTTTACAGTTTGGACGCTTGCTAGCCAAAATTATAAAACGCACCGCGTTAAGCTCGAGAGATCCTGGGTTCGATTCCCAAAGAATCACATTTATACAAAAATGTAACAAATTGTCTCTTTCAATCTATGATTAACCTTAACATGTTTTTAATTCGCGAAGTATAACTAAACCACTATGTTTAAATAGACACCAAAATAAAACACTTTTAACGGTTAAAAACGCGAAGTTAATTAACTTAACAACGGCCCGAAGTTTCGGAAGCTTCGCAGCAGTCGTAGTGACGGGTGTTAGTTAACCAATACACTTCACATTTTAAATCGTTAAATGTGTTTTATTTAAATTAGTTAGGTCGCCTTAGTTACAGAAAAGTTAGAGACAGATAACCTCATTGCATCTAATATTAAATATTTACATTTAATAGAAAATCTTCATTACTCAACTGCTGTGTATGAAACGAAATTGGAATAATTATATTTTGTGTATATAATTCAAACACTGCCTATTCTAACATTTTCATTATTTAATTCAATATTAAGTTATTTATTAATACGATATATAAAAGGAAGAGCAGTTTAACTTTACAACCCACAAATCTTACCGTCCAAATGACCCAATAGCACTCTTCCAATAATTGTCACATGTGTCGAGCGGCGAGCCCTTAACTATCACTTCTTGAACACTAAAGCAATCAATAGCTGACCGGGGACGGATTCCTGAGGGCCCTCGAGACGGACATGGATAATGATCGTCCAACGACGGTTACAAATAGCTCAGCAAATGTAATATCCGACCCGTCCAACCCTATTTAAATGCGCTAAGATGTGGACAATTCGATTTCGGACGTATCGGATGCTCAAGTAAATTTCTGCAAGGGGTTTTATTGTCTTCAGTTATGTGGAGGCTTCTAATGACAAGAAATAATACGACGTAAATAAATGCAAACTACAGTAAAAAATTATAAATAAATTTAAATAGATAATAAAGCAACCAAAAATGATTATCAAAACAAAATTTCCAGCAAAAATTAGATGCTTAAATCAATTTAGACTACTAGAGGCAGAGTGGCCTAATCACAAAAAAGCAGCAACATCAGTTCTCAATAAGGAGGAAAATAAAAATGCGCAATTAACTTAGGCGACAATGAATTTAACTTTTTGGGTAAAAATTAAGTTGTCTGTAGTTTACGCTAGTAGATACCTATTTAAATAAAAAATAATTTTCAAACAAGTTTAACTAACATAAATTGCTTTTTAAACCGTCAAAGTGTTTTATGTAAAAAAATATGTCAAAAATTTTCGTTAACTATGCTCTTGTAGATTTCATTTTCAGACTATGAAAATATAAATAACTCAAGTCATAAAAATTGCCGTTAGGTGCTGCCTCTAACAGTCTCAATTTGTCTTTTCATTTAAAGACAGATTTTAAATTCAAACTTTGTTTCATTGACGAATTGTCAAATTAAAAACAAATATTTTTAATAAAATTAGTGTATAAAAAACCAAAAACAATAAAAAAAATACAGTCTAAAATTCTTATTACAAAAGAGATCACATCTGTAGCACAAGGAACCCCCGATATTGGTGACAATAAACAACATCGGGCACAATCAAGCAGTTGAATAAAAATCGCGAGGAATGCGTCGGCAGGCGTGACGTCATTTATTAAAACCCTACGCATTCCGACTGAAATATTTTAGATACAACTTTTATTGTCCCTCCTGCGTTACATTATCTTCAGTAAGACCTTCCGTTAGCTCTCTTACCAATTAAGAGAAAAAACTTGATATTATTGCAATTTTTACTGCACGAAATTATTAAAAAAAGGTTTTTATATTTAAATAAAACACTTCAACTGTTTAAAATGTGTTATACGTCGGACGGCAGTTAAAAATAATTTTCAAACAAGTTTAACTAAAATATATTGCGTTTTAAACCGTTAAAGTGTTTTATTCAAAGTGTACTACTCACGTAAACTACATGTACATCTACATATCTCTTTTGCATTTATATCTATGTATCTCAAAATCTCCATTGTTTTATACATAATTATCAGTAAACTTAGCAGAATTAGACGAATAGATGGTCCTTTGGTTTTTTAAACAACATGCCATTAATATTTAGTGGAATGATATTTCTTATATTAACATTTAAGTAAATATTTTCTTTTAAATCACATTAGTAGCTTAATACTTTATAACGTTACGAGAAAATAGTCTTAGCTGTTTAACTATTAAACATTTTTTGTATTAGATTACGTTCTATGTGATGTGATAAGGAAGTATTTAAAGGAGAGCTACCTATTTCTAATTTTATGTAGTTTATATTAAAAATATGCATATTACATCGAAGGATAGGAAAATATTCTCACAAGGTGTCGATAAAATAATTGCGAGTCAGGTAAGTTAAGGGGAGCGTTCACCATAATGGGAGTTAGAGTTAACTTTTTAACAAGTCCCTTACCGAGCTGCGGAAATTGGGAATAATGACTTTCACACTCGCTGACACTCATCAAGTTTTCTTCCTGTAGCATTTTAAAGAATCAAGTCATCTATGAATTACATGAATGTAAATAACTAACAAAATATCATTTTAAGTAATATATGATAAAACAAATCTTTCGAGTCACAAATCCTCTTAACTTTGATAATCATAGGCTCAAATATTACTTCACCTATTCCCGAGAACCTGTATAAATAGTTGTACAAACAAAACTTTAATTAATCCACAGGCGTGAAAGGTTGTACCCGATGTTATCACAACGTGTGCCGTTATCTTAGAAGTTTAATAGTCGCGGCGTAGTGTGAACGCGGGCTAATGAGCTTGCGGTCTACGCGAAAACATCACGCATCAAACCTTCGCTCCAACTTCGTGCAAACTTCGCCTTAATTAATTTTACAATACCTATTCAAACAGAGAACGCCTCATTCTCACAGATGATAAATATCTTTACAGTTTTTTTTTAACACTGGCACAAGACACTAACGTCCGAACGACTAAAAAAGTTTCGCAAGTCAACCGCGAAGGCGCGCGTCCGCCACCGAAACGTGGTCGACATTAAAACCTTAGCGGGAAAGAAACGGCCCCCTTATTACGTCTCGAAAGAAATTCGCTCGCACACAGGGAACGCGAAAGAAGTCCACCCACACAACGAAAGGGTGCAACTACGCGACACAGGGGGAGGCAGTAGGTGTGTGCGTACAAATAAGTGTTAAAAGAGATAGTTAGGTAGGACGATGAACATGTACACCGTCACATATAATATTCAGCCTAGGGAAGCAATAAAAACTTGGTCCTTACACTATTTTATACGAGGTTATTTACAAATCACAAGCAACATATTTACTAGCGCATCGTTTAATTCAGTATTAATCACTAGTTAATCATTGTTATTTTTTCTTAAATTAATTACTTAATTCGGTTAAATGGGTCAGTTGAAGTCTATACTTAAATAATATACTCTACATAATATAAAACATTTTTTTTACACTGGAAAATTTTCCAAAATAGTTGTTTTTTAGAATATATGTTAATCTTCATCTTACCTGACAATTTAGTTTGTCTCTGGTTTATTCATATATTAATTAGTGGACGAGATTTAAGCAGTATATTAAGGTGTGTAACAGAAAAAAACTGTGTTAAATTTTTTTACTCGTATTATTACAATATTTATGGTGAATGTGTAAGCTTAACACCAATTCAACAAACCTAATTTTGATATCTTCGTAGACCTTAGAGCTACCGGCTACACAACTTCGTAGGCAGCGTAGCACAGTGGTGCTACGAAAACGCTATTTCATATATACACGCTATAAAAAGCACTTCCATTTTAAGCTAAATATCTCCTGTGCTTCAAGTTTCTAAGACTTGTAGTTTTATTTAAGGTTTATGTGCCCAATTAGCCGAGTAAAATAGGTTAAGAGCTCTACCCAGGCGATGAAGATTTCGACTTCCAAAAATGATACTCTTAAATTCTTTTGGCTACGATACTGTTCAACACATTAAAAAAAACACGTTACAATTCAAACCTTTTTAATAAATATATTACCACATGAATTTATATAATAAGCACCTTGTTATTAAGTTAAACATATCGCCATTTTCAACAAACAATTTTATTTCCTTGGGTGATATAAATACATTATATATAGTAAATAAGAATACAATAAAACAGTACTACTTTTTTGTTTACGTAATTTTATATTATTGTTAGAGCAAACGTCTTAAACCTCGTAAACATACAAAAACAGACTTCTGGAACACTTAAGCAACGAAACTGTACTAGAGTCCACGCTGACCCATTTACATAGCTTATCATTATTTATTATTCACTAATTTAATATACAAGTTTACTATTTACACTTTCGCTCTAACTTGTAGAGGCACTTAAAATTGTATAGCTAACAGACGTCTTTCGTTCTTACTAATTAAATATGGCTGATGTTGTACATGTACAATATACGATACAAATTATTTTATATTTTCTTAAATTGTATTTATTATTATTTTTAAATTTATTAGAGTTACGGTGTATCTATGTCAATCTTTTAAATATATAAAACAAATTTACGTGTTAATATTTCATTGCTTATTATAGCTTAGAATTTTCATAACTGAAGTGAAACATGAAAAAGTGTTTTATCATATTTATCTAAATTAAGCGTAACTTAATATTACCTTTAAAAAAGTTTACTAATAAGTAAATCGTTTAGAAAGAAAACGTTTAATGAAACACTATTTCGTAGACAAATTTTAAAACTGACTTCGCTTAATTGAAGCCAGAAGCCGATAGAGCATCGTATCGTTGACAAAAGGATAAGTGCGCCTGAAACCTCTTTAGGTCGGTCTCACCCACACACCTGCGACCGCAACGCCGCACGTAACGACACACACACACAAACCGCACAACTACTAAGCCAAAACCCACACGCCCACCCGCCAAACACGCCCAACGTCTTGGGTTTTCTTATAAACCGCGACGTTCGACGTCCTTCTCTATCCCGGCGGGATCGGTGCATCCTCTCGTTCTAACGCAATGATGAGCTTCACATAAAGCGAGGCCACATTCCCGCCTTTTTTCCCACTCCATTTTGACAGCTCGCGGCTCCATATCTGGCCGGATGCTAAGACAGTGTTCACAAGTAACGTCTTTTGTTCATGGTAACGAATAATAATTTTCAGTTTTTATGTCCCTAAAGAAAAAATACTTCTTAGTAATTAATTCCTTTCAACCTGTGAATCAAATAAAATATAACATCTATATTTCTTAAACTAAAAAATGTACTTAGATATACAATGTCACAATACTTTATAATTTTTATTGGTAACCTAAATAACAATATACGATAATCTGTGCATTCAGTCAAATTTAAGGTCCAATCAAAGTGATTACTGAATATATGGTATGTTTATTATTAAACTATCTAGGTATCCAGTAGTATGCATTGAAGAGCACATGTGATATTAGAATTAAAAACAGCTGTATGTATAATAAGTTTCACAAACGCGCTAGTGTGCGCGACGTCTTACCGCCTAAGTGGCTCAAGACGCGTTAGCGGGCGCGGGCTGGCTGGGCGGAGCTGCGGAGATGCGGCGCTCCGCTATCGGCACACCGAAACACACATTTTTCCCGCCGCAAACCTCGCGCCGAAGGTTAGCCGCGACCCGCAGACTTGGCCGGAGCGAACGGAAAGGAAGATAGCTGCCTCTCACTAGCGCGCGCCTGCGTGTTCCTTGAGAAAAGCGCGCCAATTTTGACAATTTCTTCACTCGCGGAACAAGATGGACGATCACGTAGAACAGCGGTCTAAACAAAGGGTATTGTAATGTTATATCAGCTCGCTTGAACTTTTAACTAATTAATCTTACAATTTTATTTCTAACGCATCGTGTTTTTAGTAACACTATAATATTAAAATTCTAACATGACAATCAATAACAAGTATATCAAATATAGATGATAATTCAATGACATGTAGTTAATAGACAAATCTTACTCCAAGCGTCAAGAGCCGTACAGCGGTTACGCGGCTAACCTACAAATTGTCACCCGCGACCACGTGATTAGCTCACCCAAACTGTACCTCAGTAATACTCAACACTTACAGCAGAGCTATATTTTTAAATAACATATCAAAAGACTTCTTATTTTAATACTTAACATATTCTTTAGAGTAGTTTAGTCAGAATAGCTTGTTAATAATTATTATTCTAAATTCGTGTTCTAGAACCATTATTACAGGTATAGCCAAAATAAATGCGTTTATAAGCACACTATAAATATAAAATTTTATTTTTAAATTGACATTTTTTCACTTCAAATTCACAACTCCTTGCTATAACATATTACGATTTACATATTGATATTTAAATCAGTAAAAACACGACCACAAGGATTTTTTTACTACACAATAAAAATAACTGTAAGGTAAAAACTCAGTTAATATACAAATTGAATTAAAAATGTAACTTAAACTTACATTGCTTTTAGTTTGGGATATTTTGTAGTGGTCGCAAGCCTAATTCATAATATAATCCGCTGTGTTTTGATATCCCACCGAGCCGACCCTGTGGCCACACACCATACAACTTTAGGATCACTAGGCTGAGGTCAGCACTAACGCGGACGTTATGCGGTTGACCGATGAAATTCGTTTGTGTAAAGACTGTGTTATACCTCCACATGAAATAATTGGAGGAAAAAGTACACTTTCTAAGTACAAATTCCACTAAATTGTATTGTTATAAGATAATAAAATTGATTAATGATTTACTTCTAATTACGACCCGACGTTTCGAACCGCTTGAAATAAAATAAGTACTATTGGAACAAATAAACTTTAATTCTTAATAACACACGAGGATAGCATAAACAACTGCAATTAAATAGCGAAAGTGCGATTTAAACGTAATACTACATTTAAATAATTAAATAAATACACAAAAAATTAAATAAATATGTGAAACTTTAGTCTAGTTATAGGTTCAACATTTTTGATCCGAAAACACAGTATATTTAGTTTACAAATAAAATAAATATGTAATAATAACAGAAGCGTAAACTGATGTATAAATGCACCAAAAATAAATAACATTAACAATGATGAAATATGATGTTATGTTATTTTTTTATTTTGACATTAGACTTAAATTAAAATGTAAGAAGCCAGATATCGTGCCATCAAAAGTGTCAAAAGTAATACAGTAGTGTCTGTACCACATTAGAAAATCAGTGTGTGCCTGCAATCAATAACATAAGCTCAAACGCCAGGATTGTGTGTAAACAGGAAAAGCACCGACATCGTTGAATAAATAACTCGACACTTGTTCGCAAATAAACAATTTAAAATGTCAAGAATAGGGTAAGGGCAACCAACCCTTTTCCTTTTGACATTATGTTTTCTGACAACCAATTTTAAAGGTGTTTACGTTTTGCAAATCCAAATAGCTATTATAATAATGTAGGCACGTTTACCTCCTTTCATTCAATAATAGTAAGTTGATAATCAGAACCCGAACAAGACATGCGAGGCTTGCTCAAAATTATCAGTCATATCTTAAATAAGAGAATATACAAAGCCAATATAGACGAACTGCTCATCTTATGAAGATGATATTTCACCATCACTTCAGTTGGCATTAAGGGGCATTTCACCATTGATTAAGGAAAATCCACGCTCCAAATATACTCGTAGACGCTTACAATCTTTAGTCTCCCATGACAACGTCTGCTATAAGATTTAACATGTCAGGTTGTAGTTAAAAAATGGACTACTACATTTAAACAATACATCGGACCGGATAGATACAAATAACACATACTATATCCATGTTTAGTTAAAATCTCTTCAGTTTTAACATTCAACCAAGTTCCGTAATGAGAAAATCAATTGAATATTCGGGAAAATTAATTTTTTAAAATATATTTAAAATCAGATTAAAGTAAATTTCCAGGACATGAAAGATCATCAATCGTTTAATTTTTCCGATTTCCTTAGTGCTGTTTATAATCGAACCGAGCTATACAGCTGTGTTTGAGAAATTGTACACAGCCATTAGAGATGTACAACCCCATCGATTATTAACACAATGTATTTCGTAGTTTTATCGATTTACAAATAAAACATTACAACTTGATAAATGTTTATTTAGTTATAATTAAGAAAGATCACATGCATATCTGAAATTAAATCTTATGTGAAAACAGTTTACTTATATTATTAAGAAGTTTTATATTCCAAATTACAAAATAGTTACTTTTATATCCATAAAAAATATAGATGCTTTAATATTACAAACATGCTAGAATGATATTCATTCAAAATCTGTTTAGTCACTCTAAAAAAAATACGACACGGACGGAATTTGAAACTATATTGCGCAAGCGCATGTATCAAAATTTTACAATGACGCGTAAGACACGTGTCGGAAAATTTTATTCACGCGAAATACATTTTTAATTTAACACAACGCTTTTAAACACCGAATCTCGGATGCGGTAATAGTATATTATAAAAAGAATACTATCGATATATTGTAATAAACACTACGAATTATCGACATCGATACTAACTACAACCCTTTCGCACCATATGCCGCGCCACTCGCAGCGCGCCCTTAAATTACAGAACTTCCCGCTCATAATAGAGAGATATGCCTTTAATATCTGCCTGGAACTGCTTCCGCTATTTACTTTTTGCTTTCGTTCTTACATTAGATATTGTTCAGCATCTCGTCGCTAATGAAAGGGTATTTATACGTATATCGATAATCAAAACTAAAACGCTCAAAATTTTAATCTTGCGATAATGTTACGGATGCTACTCAGATTTTTATTACGAAGAACAATAAATATTCTTGTCAACGCGTGTATCAAATGATATTATATTGTTCAGTTAAAGGCTCTTGAGATCTTTAAAATATAGTAAGAGCCATTTTTCTTTCAATCCAAAAAGTAATTCATTTGAAAACAAAAAAATATGTCTTATTATCTGTTGATTACACAAGTTCATATTAAGTGTCTGTAGTAGTTACGTGTCTGTCTGTAGTTTACGCTACTAGTACAAATTGGTATAAAACACGATTACCGGTTTAAAAAATTGCAACAGCCATTCGTTGCTACTGCAAAGCGTAAATAAAGGAAAAAATATATAATTCGTGTATGACCCGTTAAAAATGTATTTTGTTTCTATATAAACTTTAGTCTGGTTCTTTGGTGTAATGGTAGCATATGGTTATTAGCCATTGATGACTCGTGGGTTTAATTAAAAGGTCCAATATATTTAGTTAAATGGGTGGTAGGAATACCCACTCCGTCCGGGTCACAAACCACCGTCCATAAGTGAAAAAGTGAAGTTTAAACGCGCTTCTATTTTAATCTGTGAATTTTCGAATATCCAACACAAGTTGACAGGACATAATGTAAAGCACACTAAAGCAACTGACAAAGGTCGTACCTGCATAACGACATCGTTACATCCTTAAATATGCCCCTCAGGAAAGCGGGTGCAATTTCAATCACTATTCCGTGTCGCTTCCAAACGCACCTGCTGACTACAGAATACGTGCCCAACTAAAAGGCTACTTAACCTAAGTGACCCTCACGGAATCCCAACTGTGCTGTAGGAGACACTCAATGGCCGGCAATTTTACGTGAACCGATCGCCATCTGCGCCCGACGCAAAAATATACCCCAAAAAACATTGGAAAGAAGGAATATTAGTCTCCGCGGGGCCATAATCGAAGCCAATTTGCGTTATAGAGGTATGGCACCGGTTCCACGTCACGTGCATGACTGATGCGGATAACTCAACGTTACTTTTGCTTAAATGTGTTTAAAATACCAAATGTTAATTAATGAAGTTATTTTGAAATAAAAGGCCGAGATTTAATTAAATGATCAAGCTGCTTTTATATATTGCGTCATACTTTCTACAACATCCGTATGCAAGAGAGCGGGAAAAAAATCATAAAAGATTTTACATACTACCAACATTAGACAAAAAGAGTAAACAGTCCTCTCAACATTAACTAAATGTATTAACATTTATTTAATGTATACAGACTATATAACAATGAATACATTTGCGATATAATTTTTTTATAGGATGTAATAAGTTTACAAAACGTGTATTTCAAAGCAAAATTTACTAACAATTGTTTTTACAACAATCAAAATATATAGCAACTGTTTCAACAAAATTTAATCGCGAGTCATGAATTGTTCAATTATGACCACGCTAATTATTGAAGAAAAACAATATTTGTATTAAACAAAATAATAGTGTAATATATTTTATTTTATTTTTGATATTCTTATTCTATATAATGTGGAATAAAATATTTGAATTGAAAAAACGTTCAGTGAAACACATACTGTGTTCGCCCAACACAGCATCAAGTATAATATATTAGAACCCGTTTAAGACCATCACGTTTAATACGATTTCTCGCATAATTAAACAATAAACATATAATAATGACTCTTCATATTTAATGTCATTTATAAACGTATTATTTAATACCTACATATACAAAAATTAGAGCATAATTTAAGACGCGTTTTTAGTCCCTGAGAAATCTTCTTAAGCAGGTTTTACTGCATTACTATTAGACGTATATCATTTTATTTGCAACACTAACTTCTTAATTTTCGAAAACACATCCGGATTGTTATTGCATTGCATCTCTTCCTCGTCCCTCATTTTTTCAATACGCGTTCAAGATCATTTAACATTTTATGTGTAATCTTCCTCGGTGGCGATAAGACAAGGAGATTTTTCCGCTTCTCACTTTATTTTATCGGCGCTTTACGGCGAAATCTAAACAGATTAAATCTAGGCGAGGGTGGGAATCATATCCGATGCATTTTACGGCCTTGTTTTTCGGTTTAATATTTATTTATGCACAAAAAGAAGATACTTATTTACAAATATACGCTAAATCAAAACTAAATTACTAGTTATCATACAAATGATTGCAACCATCTTCCTGTCTAACCCTATGTCTCTCTCTGTAGAGCTGATATCAAATAAACCTTGAGAAAAGAGACGAAATTATTTGCGCCTGTAGTATTAGAAGTGGATATTGTACGACTATAACATACCCAATCTCGCACCTTGAGCAAAAACAAACCACCTAACATCACGAATCACGATAAATCGCATGAAATACGACTCATAAAAGCAAAAATGGGCATCAGAAACGTCCTCTTAAATTATGCAACATTTGTATGGAAATACAAGCGTCACCCCGGACCCTCTTCGCCTCTTTAAAAATACATACCATGTTATTTGTTGTGTTAGTTTGACGTTCGCTCGTGATTTGATTGCTTTTTCATGTAGATTCTCATATAACGACGGATCTTATTCGTGGCGTTAAATTGTTTTCACTGAAAAAAAATGGCGTCATGTCAACATTTTATCTGCGACGGCAATGTTGATTAAATTATAATTCTAGTAAAACTTAGCTACTCGTGAAATACATTTTTCGATTAAACGGGCTAAGCATTTTTCAAAGACTCCTTCAAACTAAACGAGCAATTATAAGTCAATTTTTTTTGTCAGTCAGCTTCGTAACTTAAGCAGAACGGTAAAGATCTCAGCCCTTGAATAGTCACATCAATTAGGGATTTATTTGAGTCAATAGTAAATAGTTTTCGTGGTTGTATTTACCTGCAAACAGAGACACCTAGTTCTTTTCGACTTCGTGGAGAGAGTTAAAAAACCCCCAAGACATCTGTCGCATATACTTGTACAGCCATTTGGTGCCTTGAAACTTAATCATTAATGCCATTTCTGTGATTTTTACCAGCGCCTCTACAATGCACGCCAAGAAGGTACCTATTAATAGGTACAACACAGAAAACATATTACTTTTCACCCCAATATGTAGCAAACTGTTCGAGTGTCAAAAAGGCGAACGCTGTCATGTTTATATCATATTTTCCATCCGGCTGGGATTATTATTTCAAAAGGTCTCTTCGTAACCTCGTTGGCTTCCAGCGAGAACAATTTCAAACCACCTAACCGCACGTAGCTTTCCCAATATAAGCCTTACTTTACCGGAATTAGAACCAATTCGCTTTATCACCAATGCGGTTATAGGTGAGATCGCCATTGATGCTGGGCAACCTTATTCCTCGAAGAATTGTTGGTAAATTTTCAATACTCACTTTATTAGGGTGAGAGCGGAAGGAGGGTGAACAAAACTGCCTTTATTAGATTTTCTAGAAACGTGAGCATACAGCCAATTGCCATAGGCGCTGAATTGCTATTGACACGTCTTTATTGAAAATTTTAAATTTAATTAAAACTGTCAATACCATATTTCGATGATTACATCAAAACAAGGTATCGACATTAATTAACTATTATTAAATAGTTAATTAATTTGCAGCTTATTATTTTCAGTGAGTACATGAAATTACTTACATCCAATTTATGTGGAAGGCAAACTTTTAAAAATCACGGAGTACATAATTGACCTTTTTCATCTCTTTATTCATAATAATAATATTATATCATAATTATCAAATATTACAACATATTAATGGCTTAACTGCGCCATCTATTGGGTTTTTATAAAACGCCTTAGACCTGCGATGGTAGCTGCATCTTATTAGCAAAACTTAAGTGTCAAAACTAAAATATAGATGTCAGGCAAGTGACAAGAAAAATAACTAAACAAATAATGTTTTCAACTTATTGAAACTAAAATAAAGTTGGCTTTAATACCTTGCTATTAACTTCCTAATTTTTTTTTGTTCATTCGTAATTTAAAATATATGTAACAGCTTCGCTTTCGTAAACTAGTGACGTCATTGACAAACAAAAGGTCAACTGTCACTTTCAATTTGGTGATTGTTGTTTAACTTTTAGGTTATTTTGGTGATAAATGATGTGTTCAATTAAAATGTTCACCTAAAAACAGTTCTATATACTTAAATATTTATTAAACCAACTAATAAAAATGGCAGTTGTTATAGAAACTACGCTTGGCGATATTACAGTCGACCTGTACATACAACAAAGACCCCAAACATGTCGGAATTTTTTGAAGCTTTGCAAAATCAAATATTACAATTACAATTTATTTCATTCCATTAGGAGTGGATTTATAGCACAAACCGGCGATCCAACTGGGGAAGGTTCCGGCGGACAATCGATATGGGGAGTTATAGAAGGACCCAAGAAAAGATTCTTCTCAGGTGAGAAAATGCCTAAGATTCGTCACACTGAAGCGGGTTTGGTATCTATGGTATGCACTGACGATATGATGGTGGGCTCCCAATTCTTTTTCACCTTAGCAGCAGATTTAGACTCATTAGATGGTACACATTGTGTGATTGGTGAAGTAACAGAAGGCCATGACATACTTACTAAACTCAACGAAGTTATATGTGATGAGACTCACCGCCCATACCGGGATGTGCGTATTACACACACAGTTATTCTAGAAGATCCATTTGTTGACCCACCGGGGTTAATTCCTCCATCAAGGTCCCCCTCACCTAACCCTGAGCGTTTGAAAGGAGGTCGAATTGCACCCGATGAGGAAATTGATGAGACAGAAGGAAAAACAACTGCAGAAATACAGGAAATGATAGAGGAAAAAGAAGCTAAGGCTCGAGCAACAATATTAGAAATAGTTGGAGATTTACCGGATGCAGACATAGCTCCACCGGAGAATGTATTATTCGTATGCAAGCTTAATCCTGTTACAACAGATGATGACTTAGAAATTATTTTTAGCCGTTTTGGCAAAATAGTTAGCTGCGAAGTTATTCGAGACAAGAAAACTGACAACTCATTACAATATGCATTTATTGAGTTTGATAATAAAAAGTCATGTGAGGATGCGTATTTTAAAATGGATAATGTCTTAATTGATGACCGTCGAATTCATGTTGATTTCTCTCAATCAGTTTCAAAAATGAGATATTTGGGTAAGGGCAGAGGAGTGCAATACTTGAATGAAGATAGTTCTGAAATAAACATACACAAAACAGATAAATCAGATAGAACCCAAAGTCGAGATAAAGAGAGATATAGAAATAGAGATAAGGACTACAGTAATAAAAATCATAAGGATGATAAAAAACACCACAGAGATGAAAGCTACAGTGACAGACAGTATAAAAATGATAAATATAGAATAAAAAGATCACATAGACATAGGACTAGAAGCCGCTCTCCAATAATTTCTGCAAATCATATACAATCAAACCATAAAGACTCTAATAGGAGAAGAGAACTTAGACGTGAAAAAGATGATGGTAATTCGAATAGAAGTAGTAGGCATAATGAAAGGGAAAATGCCTACAGGTCTAATACATCACACAATGATAGAAAAAGAACAGAGAATGTTTCTTCATCTCCAAGAAGAATAAATGATGATTCTAAAAGAAGTAAATTTGAAGTAAATGTTGAAAATTCTGACAAGCAAAACACATATAATAGAAGGGGTAGAGAGAGGAGCCTTTCACCAAGACATAATAAACATGAGAATATTGATATACAAGATTATCATAGACAAAGAAAAGAAAATACCAGGAGACATGGCTATGATGAAAATAATAAAACATACAGTGAAAAGAAGAAAAAACTGGATATTCAAAACCATCAAGATTCAGAAGAAGAGCCTAAGACACCTTCACCAATTATAGAGAAAAGTAAGAAAACTGGTAAAAGTAAAGAGAAAAATCGAAAAGGTAAAAGCAAATTACAACAAAAAAAGCTGTCAAAGAAAAAGAGAAAGGAATCAACATCTTCCTCTGATATTACTTCAGAGACGAGCTCTAGTTCAGATTCGTCTACTAGTGCCTCAAGTGACTCAGACAGAAGTAAAAAGAACAAAAAAAGAAAAAGAAAGCCTTCATCTTCCAGCAGTAGTAGCTCTAGCAGTAGCTCCAGTTCTGACTCCAGTAGTGAGACATCTTCTAGTTCAGATAGTGGGACTAACAATAAGAAACGCAAAACAAAATATCATGCAAAAAAGACTGCTAAGAGAAGTAGAAAATAACATACATCTAATAAAACTTAAGGTAACTCTTTTATTCTTTCAAAGACAGAAACAAATGTACAATGTAACATTAACATACATAAGGTTGTAAATGAAGTACACAGGTAATATTTATCCCAGAGGTTTGTAATGTACTTTGTATTTTTACATAATCGTAGCTAAGTTAATAACTAATTGTATTACTTAAATGAAATAAACAATTATGAATTCCGTTGTTATGTTTATTACCTTATCTATTTTAAATTCAGAGAGATAAATGCAATATTAGATTACACAGAACCCAAATACCTAGTTTTATTACTACCAAAGCGAGGTATTATCAATTGATCAGATTCTACATTTTGGTAAAAATAAATAGTTAAAGTTCAAATAAGTTATAGGTCTAGGGTGTATAAATAAGAACTAATTTAAAAATATATTAATATAGACCGCGTGTGTAAATAAAACAGTAATACATAGTTTGGGCGGGCAACGCACAGAGTGACTAAATAAATTCGATTAGAGGTATATTATTTCTTCGACCTGTGTAACGGTGCAGCCCACTATCCCCATTTCAATCGTGTAATACCCCGACGTATCTGCCCCTCCCAGATAATGTTAACAGGGTTTCACTTATTCATACTAAAATTTTTAGATGAGTTGTTCTAGGAATGTAATTGAAAATATTAAATCAACGAATTTACACTTAATAGTATAAGCGCAACCATTTACCCTCGTCATCTTCCCAAGCCGTCCTAACGAGGTCTATTCACAAGCATAATGACTAATAAGCATTCTCAACAAGTCTATAAAATAGGTACCCTAGGTGAAAGGAAGCAATAAACATGTCAGATAAACAGACCAGTACCTAAAACCAGATAACAGGACGTCGTTGACTCGGTCGCGAGATTTTATTAGCTAAGCTGTCTGCCTTTGTACTCATTGTATATTGTGATAAACTCGGTTCGAGAAGATGGCTATTGTTACCGAGCTATTGTTGTGTATAAACTTATGGACAGTACCTACGTTTTAGGGTATTTCCATTAGGAATAATTCAGAGCATTTTGATTCTGAAAGATTCATGAATCTTAGGACCTATCTACTAATTATTAATGCAGAGCATGATTCAAACAGCGTTTTAAGTCGATTCGTTATATTTGAAATGTACACATTTCACAGACTTTAGTAATATACTTCCATTTCAGTTAAATATTTTTACTTGTATATAAGTACCATAATATTGGATTAAGTAATATATAATATGCAATACTTTTTTGTATTCATCTACGAATAAGTCTTACAAAAAATTGCTAGTAAGGTTTTGTATTTTCTTTAAATGTAGTGATGGTCATCTAGGCACATAGTACAGCTTCTTCCCTAGAAGTGATTAAAAACCCATAAGAAAATTCTGTAATGGCTTGTAATTAATGGGCGTCTCCCTGCTCGTCGCCATCATTTCATCTCGTTTTCCAGGCACTGCATTATTTTCGAAGGGTTGATTTAGCTGAGTACTTGCGTAGCTTTTGCTAGACGTCATAGACCCAGGGAGGTATTGGCTCTTGGAACTTCTAATTTTAACATTTTGGAACAATCTTGATTGTCAAATATTGTGTTTGCATGGCTCTATCAGAAACAACTCGTGATATATTTTTTTCAAAGTAGTTCCCAACCCTTTACTATGATTATATTTTATACAAAATATCAACTCAAATTTACAAAGTCACCTGTACAAACAAAAATTATTTTATTTACTTTGTATGTCAACTTGGGTTCTGAGATATGGAAAAAAGACCTAAGCCACATTTAAGTTCGTCCCTGCTTCATTTAGTGCGCATGTGCGCACGATATCGACAGAAGCCATAGCTTTTTCTCCGGTATTTGCTGCTGCCATTCGTCTTTCGAGAGCCGACATCTTCATCGCGCGTATTAAAATCGAAATAAATATAATAAAATAGAGGGGCTAATAAGTTCGACAGCATGTTACTACTTACGTTGACCGCGTTTTGCGCGGTAATATTTCTGAGCAACGCACTTCCCACGCCTTCAAACAAAGGTAGGTATAAATTTATATACATTTCATTTTATTAATATAGAATGTTATAGAGGCTGTGCAGTGAATTTAATGATATTTTGATATGTCGAGGGGAGGCATTGTTTTGTTGTTATTGATCAACCGGCGTGGGACCGCGCAGTTCTATTTTTAGCAACAGGTGCCCTGCGCAAAACTCAACTTCCTTTTAGATTTCAATTTTCAACTATGACCTTTTCAATGTTACTAAAATAGAATTACAACTCTTCAATTACTTATATTAATTCTAACATTCTAGTTAGAATACGTGAAATGTAGATATCATTAGAGTAGGTAATTAGGTGGCTTAATTCTTGATTGCTTAATATAATATTAAACTTTTTTTAAGATTATTATTTATTAGATAATGGTCCGATTGCTGAACTACCCGAAAATTGGGACCAAACAAAAGACGACACGCAATCATTATTTTTGAACAAAAGCGACAAAAATGATTTAGAGCCATATCCGTTAGCCTTGAGCGAGGAAGGTAATATTTTTATTTAATAGATGTTGTAGAATAATATTAAAAGTAGGTATATACTCATAATACACCCATCATACATTGTTAACGAATTCCAGGAAATTCAGAAGGATTCGAACAAGCTCTTGATCAAAGATATGACTCTGCACCATCGAACGGCGAACTTGATAATCTTATTATGAGACCAGAGTTATACGGCGAGCCGCCTGCTATCGAGGGGCTGTCTACCGGATATGACTCCCGACGCAAAAAGCGTGGTAGCGGAAAGGTTGGAGGCGCCGGCGCAGCTACAAAAGTAGCGACTAAGTCAGGATCTGGCAAGAAAAACCTGAAGTATGTATTGAACATAATTTCTTCCTAAGTATTATTCATATATCAATAGACTATAGAAAACTTTTTTTCAGACAACAGGAAGGTTTGTCCCCCGTCGATACAGTTGCTGAAGATTACGAGTCTCACCGTCTGAAACGGGGAAGCGGCAAGGTCAGCGGAGCTGCAGCAACAGCCAAAACAGCTACAAAGAACTCTGGAGGGAACAAGAAGAATTTCAGGTAAAAAGGGACCAAACCTAAGCCACGTGGACCGTAATGTTATAAAAAATTAACGCTGTTACTTTCCGTACAGGCCTATTTCTGAACGGCGCAAGCGAGATTCTGGACTCAGTGCTGCTGACGTCAGAGCTCTTCTTAATATGTGGGAAGCTCAAGAGCGCAGGAAACAAGAGTGGAACGCAAACCGCTGGGCTGCCGATCGCTACTATGGACACGTTAACAATCTGGACGAGGAACAGCCTGAAGTGGATGAAAATGGTGACGTATGGTACAACGAGCCGGTAGTAGTTGGCGGACGGGAGAGAGATTATCCGCGTCACTCATATTTTTCAGAACAGAACAGAATGGCATTAGCGCAAGGCCTTCCCGAGTTGTATCAGGTGGATCCTAACGAAGTCGCCCGCAGGTACGAGGAAGCTCGTCGCAAAAGAATGTACGCTAACAGAATGAAACGGTTCATGGTAGCACGCAAGCGCTCAGATGGCATGGCACATCAGAATAACTATCGGCCTCGCGACGATCTTTACACTTTAGCGGAGCTCCTTCGTTCTTCGCCCCGCGTGCAAGAACAAGATCTCCCAGTGTACCGGCGGCTTATACTCTAAATATTCTAGAAATAGGTATTTGCTTTCTATAACTTTTATCAATCTTAGCTACGTGTGAGAGGCTGCATTATTTCTAAAATGGTCTATTGCAACGATGCAATATGTACCTATCTTGCATTTAATTTGAACTGATAGAATTGTAAGAGTTATAAGTGGTAAGAAATAGGCTACGTAGACAGAATTATTATACATCACGTCAGGCCTAATGTCACAATAAGTATTTTAGATAATCCTGAACTTCCTCTACCTCAGTTTTTGCATATCTATTAATTTCTTCGTACAAAAATACAGTCATATTTACAGTAAAGTTTACTTTACCAATTGTGAAGTGAAACTTCAGTGAAGTTGGAGTTCTTAGATATAGGTTATTCGATGTGCAAATGTATACTTGCTGTATTAATATACCTACTTAGCATAATCTAATATAATATTCGCGTTTTATTTATGCTTTTATATACATTTTCGCTATCATCATCATCATTAGAACTTATCAAACTTATAACTAATAAGCAATGTAATCTATCGGATACCTACTTAGGTAAAATTAACACCCGACTGATATTAAAGCTGATAAAGTTAGTTTCATAACAAATTATCGCAAATGTTTTATCTACTTATATATTATAAAAAAGCTTAATATATGACCAAACAAACAAGGTCTGGCCTTATGGAGGAATTAACGGGTGCTTGGAAAACTATTTTACTCTAACACGACAATAATAAAAAAGCAACAACAAAGATTTCAAAACATTCTGTCACTTAAGGCCGCTACTCATTTATTAAATTATAATTTTAAGGCTCACCTTTATATTGTCATTTATGAATAATATGACTGAAAAAGCATATAATTTAAGAGAAAGTACAGAAGAAAGTCTAACAAATACTGCACAACTAAAAGAAGACGGTCCTCAAGATGACGACTCCACGGAGAGCACAACGTATGAACAACTTTTATGGTTTCTTAGCTACTTTAAAGCGTTCCTTTGTCGCTTAGGCAAGGATTTAAGTTTGTCACTAATACGAGTATTCCACCCGTCGTACTGTGTACCGAAACACATATCGGATTTAATAGCGGCGCAAAATAGACTAAATATGCCACGCGAACAATATTTGTACAGCAGAACCAATGTAATAAAAAAGCATCTAGTACGAAATCCCTTGAAGACTACGGAGAACTTCTAGACGTGCATACCTCGTATAACGTGTAAAAATTTGTGTTCTTTCCAGTAGTGATAATCCCAATGAAAAGCCTCCTACAAAAGACCGTATTCAAAATAAAGAATTTAATGTAGTTGAAAGAGACCCGATGTTTGTCATAGTGGACTCAAGCTGTCAAAGCAACCCAAGTTCGAGAGAAATGTTGATAAACAATAATAAAACACACCTAAAAGAAACTGAATTACCAAAGTATTTGAAGAAATACGTTCTCCCAATCGATTTACCATCAACAAGTAAAGAAATAAGAGAACCATATAATTCCAGTTGCAACGAAACAGAATCTAGAGAGGAATTACAAGTAATAGATATAAACCTTCAAAGTGATAATGAGCTGCCCGTGAAACATTATGAAAGCGAACGAGAAGACGAGTCTATAGTTATCGCATACCTTAAGAATAAGCACAGAATACTAGGAAAAGACGGCCAATTATTGTCATCGAAAAAGAAGTCTTCTTTATTAAGTGATTTGCCAAAATTGGAGACTATACCAGAAAGTGAACAATCAACGGCTATTAATGCATCATTAAGTGATGTTATTCAAGTTGCAGATGCTGATAAGAGCTAATAATAATGTATTAAAAATATTATTTAAATTAAATTATATTCTTCGTCTCTAATAAAGAGTATAAGAATTAAATTTTTTCTTTGAGGCAATAGTTCCTTTGATTATTTCCTAGTATTTTAAACTACGACTCCTGCAAATGTTAATCATAAATTAGCAATGATGAAGAGGTTGATCTTTTATGTAAACTCTGTCCCTAAATACATTTTCCATCTTCCATGTTGGTGCAGAATTATCTGAAAACTCACTCGATGTCCACATTCCATCATATCCCTGCTCTCCAAGATCGCTTGACTTTGGTTCTGGACATTCCTACAATTCAGAATATGAAGATCAAAGACACGATCCACGTTTGAAAGAAGCGATTGAGTTTCTTCACGCTGATAAAGATTTATTGATTGCTGCTGAAACCGGAAATGATCCACAAATTGATATGATTTTAAGGTGACTTTTGTTAATACTAAAATTATACAATACTAGTTTTCGTCTCGTCCATCTGGGGAAAGATACTTTCAGAAGCACTTTTTAAATAATTTTATCAAATGTACAGATATAAGAAAACTTCTATTGCTTTGTTATACTGTAAGGGTCCATATTTGTTACGATAGAAATTAAAAAGGTTTTAAAAAAACTTTTAAAAGTAATAACTTAGACATAGATTTATTAAAATGAAATTGGAATTCTAACAAGAAATTAATCAAATACAGGAGGAAGGACATGGATATTCAACAAATGGATCATCTAGGAAGAAACGCTCTCCATCTTGCTGTTTGTTCTGACAATTTACGAGCCATTGAGCTGCTTCTAAAGGCCGGTGTTAATCCTAACGTTAAAGATAGCGTTGGTATGACTCCACTGTCGTTAAGCTTGTTCCGACGGTAAAAACTTTATTAACGATTACTTTGTAAAATAAGTTTAGACAATTGAAATTATAAACAATATACGTTAATGCATTTTAAATACTAACCGACGTTTAGGATATTTGTCAATAGACTGGGGAACTAGTAGTATAGCTTGGTTTTCAACTTATTGTTTTTCCATAAACTAAACATGTTTAAATAGATTATTCTTAATAGCATAAATATGACAAGTTATCGGCATTCCTTTTATTTCATAGGCCATCTTTAACAGTCGCAAAGCTTCTTTTTAATTACGGAGCCAAGATTATGCCACGTTCAGATCCAATGGACACTGGACTATTTATACGTAAGTTGGAATAACCATAAATAATCTAAAATATCGTATATTATATTTTCAATAAATATTTTATAGAATTCGTTATGATGTCAAGTCCGACAAGCGAAGAGGAAAATATAATGGAACTTCTCATAGAGAAAGGAGCTCTTGTAAACGATCCTGATGCTCCAGGTGGGCGACAAGCTTTACATTTTGCAGCCATGAGTAATAATAGTAGACTCATACGCATTCTTGTGCAGTTGGGAGCACAATTGTATTATACGAACCACAGGAATGAAACACCAAGAGATACAGCATTTACTTTCAATTGCACGATGGCCTACGAACTTTTAACGGAAATGGAGGAATATGAAAACGATAATCCACCTGTACATATCACTAGGCGAAGGACTAGCTATTTTTAAGTTTTCGCTACTATACTAAAAGTTTAACTTTAGTGCATAAGTAAATAATTATTAAACTCGATTATCGTTTGATTTTAAAATACCGCCAATGTCGACAGTTCTTAAAAGTTTTTGTACACGGCTCATAAACAAGTCAATTGACATTGTGACAATTGACGTTTGATCTACTGTTTCAAAGATGGCGGCCTTGTTGCAGTTGCTATTTTTTAGCAAACAATAACGATTAACGAGAAAATTGATATAATCAACTATTTTTGTCACACTCCAATAGTTCATTTGACTAGAAATCTAAACATCTACAAGTTATTTAATTTGATAATGTGAAAGCAAGTAAACCAATGGCTTCAAATGTGCACGATTCGAGTGTCGCTCAACAGACTTTTGTTGAGGAAATTGATTACAATGAGATTCAAGAATTACAGGTATATTATTGTTGATTCCGTGAAAATACGTATGCAACGTTGTCTTAGTGTTAATAATCGTTTAAATAGGTTGTAGGCAAGGGAGCCTTTGGTGTGGTATGGAAAGGTTTGTGGCGGAACACTTTTGTAGCTGTGAAACATATAAATTCTGAAGCAGAGAAGCGAGAATTCGCGATAGAAGTTCGACAATTGTCAAGAGTGTGCCATCCCAATATTGTTAGGCTATATGGAGCCTGTACACAGGGTGCTCATGTCTGTCTGGTAATGGAATATGCAGAAGGTGGCTCACTATACAACGTACTTCATGTCCGTCCAAAACCTAAATACAGTGCTGCTCATGCAATGAGTTGGGCTAGGCAGTGTGCTGAGGTAAGAATAACTTTTACTAAGGATATACAAGGTTTTAGAATATACATAACATGTCTGCGACATGCTAGGGTTAAATTCTGTGTTTTGACTTAAAAAGACATCCTTTTACAACACTTAGCACAAAGCCGTCTAGTTACATGTAAATAATAAACATACTTACAATGTTAATTAAAATTTTCAGGGCGTAGCATACTTGCACGCTATGAAGCCAAAACCTCTAATACATAGAGACTTAAAACCACCAAATCTGCTATTAGTTGCTGGTGGACAGAAACTTAAAATTTGTGACTTTGGAACAGCTGCTGATAAGGCTACTTATATGACTAATAATAAAGGTAGTGCTGCATGGATGGCACCAGAGGTAAAGAAAGATAATTATAATTTTAAAACAAATTTATTACATGTTTGAATTACTAGTAAACGGTAGCTCATTTTGGTGGAGACTCAAAAAACATTGCAAATAATTGTTTTCTGAATTTAATATCCAGAGCTCTGTTGTGTTTGTTTTACTACTGCTAGTAAGTTACTTGGTTCATATGTAAATCACTATATTCAAGTCTCAACAGGTGTTCTAAGTTTGACCCTATAGCTCTATTTTTTAACTTCAATCATAGTAACCCTTTTTAAAAAACATAACTAACACATGGGACTTGTGGATGTGTGAAATTATAAGCTCCTATTATTACTATAGATTCCTATTATTAATAGACTAACTAGTATTTTTCTTAAAAATATGTCATTCATAATAATCTTAATCGATATAAAACACCTATATTGTTTATTACAGGTTTTTGAAGGTTCATCCTACACAGAAAAATGTGATGTATTCTCCTGGGGTATAATATTATGGGAAGTGTTATCGAGAAGAAAACCTTTTGAAGAAGGTGGTACAGCCTACAGGATAATGTGGGCTGTACATACAGGTTATATATATTTTTACTTAATAACAATATTTATAAAAAAAAGTATTATAAACATACAGGACAATAAATGTATTATTTATTTAAATAAAACACTTCAACCATGGCCACACCTGCTGCAATGCATCCAAAACTAACTGAAGTTGAAAATCATTTTCAAATAAGTTTTACTAATATATCGCGTTTTAAACCGTTAAAGTGTTTTATTTAAATGTGTACTACTCGCGTAAACTATAGACAGTATTTGTGTTATTTATAGTATTAGTGATATTTATTTTTTAATCTTTTATTCTAATTACTTGCATTGATATACGCCCAGTCATTATTACATCTATGTAACATATAAAATCAGTGATTATAGTTTTACATAGCTTAAAATATTAATTGTAAAATGTAATGTCATCTCTTTTACATTTCTTTTACTTTCTCAGCTTCTAGTGATTCTAATATTTGGTGTTAAACCCTTACAGGTGAAAGGCCAAACCTAATAGAAGGATGTCCAGAACCAATAGAACAATTAATGACACAATGTTGGCATAAGATACCCTCAGAAAGGCCAAGTATGGCAAAGGTAAATAAAAAATTATCAACAAGTTCAGTTATAAATAATCTCATTAGAATTAGGCTTTTTCTATATATGAGATATCTTAATGGGCTACCTGTATCTACTATGGATTGAGTAAGGATAATATTTCTATTTTTACACAAAGCCCTCTGATAAACAAGCAACTACTAGACCATAAATTTCAGTTTGACAACTACAATTTGTCTATTATTTTTGCAAGTTGTACTCATAATTTTTTCCTTTTTTTTGTGACCCTTACCTTGGTGGTTCAGTGGTATTTGAAATAGATCAGGGTAATACAGGCAGCAAAAGCCTTATTAATTACTTGCTTGTAAAGAATTTAAGCAGTCACTGAAACATATGTATCTGTCATTCATGCCTCACTTCTTGGACATTGATTCACTAATTCATGCATATATTAAATAGCAAATATCTCTGAAATGTTAATGTGAAAGTTATTGTTTTATTGCTCAGGTAGTAGAGATAATGAAAGCGTTATGTGAATTCTTCCCCGGCGCTGACACGCCAATAAACTTCAACGATCTGGAAGTCGACGATGACGAGTGCTCAGAAGATGGCTACATGATCTACGACACGCGGGAGAGCTACGACACAGACACTGAGAGCATGACACAAGCGCACAACCCCATATACTCCAATGAATCTTCAAACTCGCTCAGAAATACAGGGAAACCAGTCTCTCCTCGGCCCAGGAGTTTTGTTGAGAGCCAAGTGAACAGACTTCAAACATTGATGGATCCCAAGCCAACTGTATCTCGGGATGAATTAAAGCCTCTGTTTAAAAAACCAGATCATTTAGAGCCGGGTAGATCACCAATATTAAAACTTAATTCGCCTGTTTCTGAAAGATATATGCCAAGCGAGGGTAGCACCCCACAGGATACACTAAGAGTGTTCAGAAGTCCAAATATCTTCAGCGAGTCGTCTACCCCACGTGGACCTTCGCCTCTTGTCAATTATAACATTGGAAATATGAATCCACGGCATATAGATATTGAACAGTATTGGAATAGAGAGAATGACAAGTTATCTCCAGCGCTTAGCACTAATTCCTCTCGGAAGGAGGATTATAATCAGAATTACTGTGATAAGTCGAGTGCAGTGAATAGTCCTATGACCCCAATAAGAGAGTATAACGGGAATATGATGCGGCCTATTGATACTAGATATCAGACGCCCTTACAGATTGATGTTGATCCGGTAAGTTAAGAGTTTTGTCCCATTGTGAAAATTTGAATATTTTTTACTACTAAATAAGAAAAAAGCAGTTTCACCTGACCGCCTCTGTAGCCAAATGGTCATACGTATTGCCTAACATTACATTAAGCGCGAGAGGTTCTGGGTTTGGACCCCAGGGAAACAAAAAATTTTTTTGGTGGGGCAGGGCACAGAATTCTGATCAACTACTTGCCTGTTAAAGAACGGATCACGTGAAGCGGACACGGATACGGGATTTAAAAAAAAATGCTGAATGAAGTAGAATAATAATAGTGATTGGCATGGGTATTAGTAGTAAATTTCCTTTTTTTATTAAAAAAAGTTTAGATCATTGATGAAAGTTATAATTATTGTTATTTTCGTATTAAATACTAAGTTTAGACTAGTCTCTTCCGGTGAAATTACAATAGTAAGTTCTTACATTCTAGTACACAATATTATGCTGAATACAAGATTTAGAATTGCTTGGAAAATAATCGTAAAATATATAAAACTTGAAATGGATACGTGTTTCATAATTTTTTGCGTCATATGTTACTGGTTCATACGTCTGGCCACTAGAGGGCGCTACTATTCATTTCAGACATAGACTAAACTTTTGTCTTATTTTTATATCGAAAATTAACATTGAATAAATCAACAATAATGCTTGATTGGTATGATGTAATGTTTCAGAACTCGTGGGACATTCGCGAGGGACTTCAAGATCTTGACGGCTACGTGGAGGTGCGTAACACCGGCGGCTTTGACAAGTTTGTGCCGATTGGTGAGTTTAGAAAAATGTATAAGTCAAATCACTAACAATATTATTGTAAAGGATAGCTTCTCTTCGTCTTCATACAAGCTTACAGCTTAATAACTCCTAGTGTATAAAATTATGAATTGAACGTATAGATGTCTCAAATGTAAGGTGCGAAGTAAATTCTATATCTGAGAAATTAGATGTTACAAGACATAAGTTTGCTTTTAGAAATTTTTACAAATAATATTAACTATTGTCTTCCGTTATTTTTAAGTTTTTGCAAAAAGAAATTTCAATTTGTCGAAATTCCATACCTACAGACTCACATCTTTGCACATTTTAGAATGATTCAAGCTTCAAGTACGCGAAAGGCGATGAATAGTGTTAGATGCGCGAGATGAGCAACAATATCGAAATAGCGGAGTCCTTTGCCAGGACACGCGTTTGCGATGATTCACTAATGTGTTTATCCATCGCTTCAGTTCTTTCACTTGATGGACTGATGATAGACTAGCGTTCCTAAATACTAGATATTCTAAGATTTTACGTGAATTTTGGAACTAATATATTTTGAATCAGTAGCGTCTGGCGATTAGCTTTGATCTTTCCAATTAGAAAAACCAGAATAAATGAGTTGGAAGTGTAATATAATATGATCTCACCCACTTTTCTACTACTTTCGACTTCATGTCTTTGTAGTGTCGTTCATTATTAGCGGTTTTTAAAAGTCATATATCTTTGTAAGTTGTATATTTTTAAATAGCGTACAATTTTCTTATACTCTTGCTGTCACTTACATATTGTATTCGTTGGTAATTAACATCAGTAGAAATTGTTTTATATGTACGACTAGCTGCGTCAGCGACTTCGTCCGAGTGGAATAGTCATTTTGGGCATTCAAATTTGTTCTTTGTAAACCTTTTCTTCACTTTTAAATTAAAGCTGTTACCCACGACATCGGTCGCCCCTGTCGCTCGCGGCTCGTCGTTTTTGCAAATTATTCTTAAAAGATAGACATATAGTTTCGCGGACATTTTTTAGATCATTTAAAGAGAAATAGATCTTTCATACATATTGTTTGGGTGTTTGAATCGTTTTCGCAGCGTACACATTGCAAACCCAGAGGGATGAATAATTTTCCCCCGTTTCTTTCACTTTTCTCGCTGTTTCTTCGCTCCTATTTCATAAATTTTTTCAATTCGAACCAGTGGTTCCTGAGATTAGCGCGTTCAAACAAACAAACTCTTCAGCTTTATATATTAAGTATTGATTTTGATTGATAGTATGTCGTTATAACAAAGAAACTTTTTCAAAGTTAAAGATGATTAAGATCACATCTCATCTAGTGGGTGGAAAGTTATGCCTACGTATTTTGTCTTTACAAAAATATTAGCAACCTAATTAACATCGCCATAAGATAATATTTATATAGTTTTTTTTTCACAATGTACACATACATTGTATATTACGGTATTTAGTGTATAAAGAACCTGTTCATACAATGTTGCTAAACATCGGATACTGTAACAAGCGGTCTGTTATATTAAAAGATAAGATCGCTCTCAGAGACAAGGCTTCTAAGAACCATGATAGAAAACAACGTTGCCATTTGACAAGACACACTTGCGAATAGCTTGGGCGTTACTCATTCCGGTACAGTTGGCAACAACAATTTCATTTATTCGTTTTTCCTCTAACCTACTATCAAAATGATCTCGTTGAAATAAGTAAATAAATAAAAAATAAGTAATGCAAAGAATATTTTATTATCTGCAAAAAAAGGAACTATTGTTTGTTTTTTCTTTAAAAAATACGAACGAAAACTTCGATCTTAGATCTAATAAGATTTAAATCTTTTTGTTTATCTTATTAGGTTATTTTATAAAGTTGACGGTTTATATTAAACACAGTAACTGATATAGAATTAAGAATTTTAAAAATATACATCTTTATCTTTCGATTGCGAATCTTTTCATTTGTGCCCTACTTAGCTATGATTTCTACTTGAAAATAGCTATAATATTAGTTATTATGTTACTACCCACTATCCAGCGACCTATATGTTTTATATCGGTGACGTTAATCCTTTTATTGCGCGCTAAAAATCTAATTTTCGCAAGTGAACGCGATTGACCTATTTTGCCTCAAGGTTTCTGCCAAATGAGAATCTCGAAAAGTGAGAATTTTTTAAACACATGTTGGTATATTTGCTTCTCCCCACGTCCATTTTGGTGCGTGTGTATTTTGGGTGTCTTGGTTGTGTATTTGTATCTAGACTAGATGCTAGATGGAACGGGAGATGTATCTCAAGTAATGATCATTAGTTGTGAATTATCATTTCAATTCTCCGTTTTTCGACTTCCCACTTCTTCTCTCCACTGATGTTTTTACCTTTTTTTTGAAAAATGATCCAACATAATCACAAATATTTTTTAATTAAACCTTTTAAAGCTCCTAAAAGTGAACAAGAACTCTTCATCTTTATAATATTAGTATAGATGTATATCAAAGTACATATATATGTAGCTTATAATATATGAACCAAAAAAAAAGACAAAACAAAACCCTTTTTACCATCAACATTTCGTAGCAGCATTGTCTCGTTACCTCATGTTTAGGGTTGAATATGACCAGTGTGCAAAATTAGCCATTCCATCTTTACCCTACACTCGTATGGAGTCCATTCGTTTTAATGGTCTATGACTTGTATATCGGGCCAGATGCGTTTCAGGACGGTCCCGGCGTGAGTCACGATTCCTCGGAAGAGGCCGGTACTATTTTAGACTGTGTCCGCTTACCTTCTAGGAACCGGTGGTGGGACCAACGACCGATCTAAAGTATTGTTAGATTGAACGGGGTTGCTATTACTAGTTCCTTGTTTTATTCCCGCTACGTTGTTCGGGCCCGCCTCTAGGAAGTCTCGCCGCGATTAATCAACATTTATATAATGATTCATTCTGCATCTGGAAACGATTCGTAATTAGCGAATGCGTAAACTTATCGTTCCAACCGTGGAATATCCCGTTGCTAGGCACCGGCCTCCTCTTTCATAGAAGCAGGGTATTAACAATTTCGACCCACCACGCTCAGAGAGATCTAACATTTCGCCCAATTTAGATTCGAATCACAAACCTCATAATCTACAGTCGAGATTTGCTTAGTCTCATGTAACGAAACGCTACAAAAATGTTTTAATTAGAAGTAGCTTAACGTACCATTATGAGAGCAAAGAATTTGAGGTGTTTCTCACTATTGTTATATCATTTCTGACTTCATCAAATTAATTAATATTAACCAAACCAATAAAATAAATGCTGACTTATCAATTCCGAAATTTACGAATATTTCTGAGAGCAATAATATTATTCATGATTCTTCTATAATAATAACAATTCGACAACTAATCGTCAAGTTGAGTTCAATTATTATCCAACAGTTTTTGTCGAAGCAAATTTGAAATTCCATTATTTGCGCGATGAAAGCTAAGGTCCGTCGCGTCAGTATTGACGCCGTCCGCGCAAATGGGCTAGACTGTTCCTGTTTACCTTTTGCTTCCGGCGCTTACAGTTATTCCAGACAAAAGATTTGTCACGCAGCTTTCATGCATTGATCCGATTTGAGATCTCGTCTTTGCAATTGCTATTCTGAGCAACAAACAATGTGAGGGTTTGTTACACCATTATGGATTCTTCGGTATCATCAGACACTGATCTAAGTAAAAACATATTATCATCATCAGTCTTGGTATTTTATGCTCTAAGAGTAGAGACCCCTTTTTAGGGTGTGGTGAAATTAGTTAAGACGGTCATTTAATATAGCAATCCAATAACTTTTAAAAAAATCTTGTAAGTAACTCATAGTTGTTTACGGTTTTAGTCAAATTTGCCTAAGCTGTGCATGTATTCTTTATGATAGAAGAAGCGAGATAAGAATGGGGTTCACTACATGGAAGGTGAAATACCGCAGGCATTTAACATATCGGCAAGATGCGCTGTCGGGCTATTACAGGCGTTTTACCAAGAAATGTCTCAGGCATCTTCCAACTGCTTTAGTCTCCAGTGGATCTCGTTGCTATGTGGACTATATAAAATTGTTATTATATTAAGAAGCCGGTACCCTAGTGAGTCAGCCGCAGACGTCAGTGCTGTAACAGCGGTATCGCGGTAAAGTAAATAAGTCGTAATATTTTCATGGGTGCCGCCGCGGCGGGCATCTCGCCCGTTATGCGCTACTCAAATAAACAAAAGTGTTGATTTTTATACAGTAACGTCCGTTTTTGAGAGCCGATCTCTAACGGTTCGCTGGAACTATTAATTTACGGCTCCAGTTTAACGAGTGGCTGCTTAAAACTCCTTTCTGCTGCTTTCACGAAGTCGCTATTGATGTTTTTTTGAACCAATCATTACTCCCCCTAGCTATACAATCTAGATAAAGTTTATTGACATCTCCGAATTCGCGAACCGCTGATGAGGACTTTTGAAGGGCTCGTTGGTATAATGGTGGCAATGTAAGGCTAATAATCAACGGGGCGTAGGTTCGATCCCCACCGGGTCCAACATGTTTTTAATTTAGTGTTTCGCGAGTAGTACACATTCAAATAAAACACTTTAACGGTTTAAAACACGCGATATATTAGATAAACTTATTTGAATGTTTTTAACTTCAGTCCGAAGTCTCCCCGTGACCACGGCTGCTGCAAAGCATCTGAAACCTCGGGCCGAGTTAAATCATTTTCAAATAAGTTTAAATAATATATCGCGTTTTAAACCGTTAAAGTGTTATATTTAAATGTTTTTAATTTTTCTGAACCATGTCTGACTTCGTCTGGACCGCCGTCAAAAGATGAAAAATCCGTGAGGTGTAATCGCGTTTAGGTTTCAGTCTGTGGATTTCCGAATATCCAAAGCCAAAATAGGTCGACAGCGTATCTTGTGCAGATGCTATAGGCTGGGATATATCACCTACGATCCAACGAACCCCACGCTTGTCCACCTCTATCATTAAAAAGCTCAAGTATTCTTGTA